TTTGGCGCAATATTCAGCGGTCCATGAAGCTCTGGCATGTAGGTTTTCCAGATCGTTCTAGAAAGCAATACATGTGGGAATTTTTTGGCGAATCAGTTTATAATCGAAGTTAAGCAATCTGTTGATGACAATGAAAAGTGGAGAAATTGATAAGGGGTGACCGTAAACCTCAAAGCTAACGATTACATCATTTGCTGGACCAACCCAAGGCTCTGAACACACGAATGTAATTGCACAATCCATGGTACATTTAACCTAAGAAAGCTTGCCATTCGCGTCAATGTTTAGCGATTTTTCAGCACTTTCTGATTTTCGCGTCTCCCATCGTAATTTCTTCTCCAAAGGCTGTTTGCATTGTCTAAAAAAAATGTGGAATGCCGAATCAGCGCAATCATATAGACCCAACTTCCCTTTCATAGAACTGAGCAGCACCATCGCAGCCGTGCAAATTTGCGTAAGCTGTAGTGGTAGAAAACAGCTTTGATCATCATGAATGTTTTCCAAAAACAAATTTTTTAGTTTGGTCCTCCTCTGCGTGCAAGAATTTGGATCAATTATAAAAGTTATTCACGTCTTGATTCATTTCCTTGTGTCCTTGCTATCAAGACTCGTCTTTGATTTTCATTCGGCCTCTTTGTTCCTTAATTTTTGGGAACTTTTCCTTTTTTTAAATCATAAAAAAGTTTTTTATCCTCATTAGCATCCTCATCTTTTGCTAATGCGCGTACATCGGTGCAGCTGTTCAGAAAATGCTTTATTTGCAAATTGTCTTATAGAGTTTAGCGGTTCATAGTTTTCTTAGCATCGCTCTTGAAGATTATTCCTCATGATAAAGTCAGTTATCATTTTTTTAGCCAAAGGACTGAAAATCGGAAATTTTCAAGTAACTTAAGTTTATCGAAAGCTGCAATACAAAGTTTTTTAAAGTCCTTGATCCATAAAATGGAAAAATGTCGAGAAACTCAAAAGTTCCATGACTGGTATTTGTGTCTTATGGCTAAAAAAAGCACAAGAGTATTTACAAAATGCATATAACGATTTATCAACTGCATCGGTAGGAGTAACTCTCTCTAATTTTCGTTATTATGGAGCGAGAAATTTTTAGAAAACTGAAAATTATGTCTTAGCTGCACTTTGACGATTTCTGAGACTGGTTTGATATCATACTGATATTATTATATGTCACATATATCGTTTATCATTCGTATCAATTTTTTTCTGCATTTCTGTTGCCGCGAAATGGTGTTAAAAATGAAAATGAACATTATTAGTTGTTTGAGTCAATTATTTGCCAAATTTCCGTGATTCAGAAGTTTATTCGCTTTGATTTGAAAAATTCGTAACTGCTCCCTGCGTGAACATATTTATTTAGGAAAGTTATCAAGATAGAAAAACTCATCTACTTCTAATAACAGCCTTGCGGCTCTTTGCCGACAAGAGGCACCAGGTGTAAAAACTCCAATAGGAGAACCAATCTGACTCCTGATTTTTGAAAATATATGTTAAAATTTTGCAGGGCTGCAGATAAGTTTGAAACGTGCCTTAAGCTACGCGTGAGCTCCTCTTTTTCATTGTGACAGGTTTATATGTTGATCGACATTTTCTGTGGGAAATTACGATTTTTGTGGAAGATGCAAAAAACAGCAATGATCTTTTCTGTACGCTACCGCCAAAAACACCCCTCCCCTCACTTTTGAGTGCTCAAGAGACCCCCCCCCCCACCGCCACTGACATTGTCGCCTATCTTTCGTTAGGCACAGATAAAACGTAAAACCGTATCATGTCTAAACAACCTCATTTTCAACACACATCACCACCATTCAGCGATGTTCAAATAAAGGAAAAAATTTTGAAATTTTGTGAGGAAAAGTGAGTTTTGCTAATTCTCCAATGCATTCCTTTTGAAAAAATTTTAGGCCCTCTCCATTTGCTAAAGAGTTCCCGGAGAGGACCTAGAAAACTCAGTCTAATTGTAAGATCATACAGGAGTCAACGAGATGACACTTGTCTTTTTTTTTCTCGTGAAAACATGTTGTAGAGACCATATTAGACCTTACAATGAGTGAATACATTGCAATGCTCTGTTGGCCACGCTATTCTTTTTGCCAGCTACGACACTTCACATGGCAGGACATGTGCAGCTCCTAAACTGGCTGCATCAGCCGATATCGATCTAATTAGCTCTATCGCCAAAGCAGCGATCACTATCCATTCGGCCACATACAACCAATTGTTGAGAGCTTTTGAGCTGGTACATTAGCGCTAAACGAGCATATGAGCTGTTGATAAGATGAAAATGCGATCAAGAAATTTGAGATATAATGCGACAGACAGCTTATTCAACGATATTGAAAGGAAAATGCGTAATATTCGGGCGAGCACACTGTATATAAGACTTACAGGTGAAAATCATTATAAAAATCACTTCCAAACATCTGCACTTTTTTATATTTTCAATCCACTGCTTTTGAGTGTAAATGCTGCAGAATATTTATAATTCAATACTACTTTCTTCTGTGTATGAACTAGATTTGAATTTGTTCGAACCCTCACATATTGTGATGCACGTAGTCTGAAAATGCAGAAAAATGCAAAAAAGTAATTTTTGCCGTTTTTTTTCATTTTTCACGAAAATCATAACTTTTCATATAAATTTCAATCAGCAGTTTGGCACCGTTAGATAGAGCAGCTCACAAAACCTATAAAAAACATGCTAACAAATTTTTCTGCAACATTCCAGATTTTTAACGATTTATTTTCGAAAATCGGGAGTTTGGGTGGTTTCCCTTGAATTTTTTCCCTTGAGGTCCCTAGTCCTTCAATAACCATAAAAATTAGCAGAAAGTAGATGAATTTTTCTTCCTAATGAAATTTTCTGTATAAGCAAGCACGTTCACATAGGGAGCACTTACGAATTATTCAATCTCAAAGCGACAGAACTTTGGAATCAAAAATAAATTTCACTAAATGGGCCACAGTATATTAAGAATTGATTTTTCTGAATGCGATGGCCTAAACATTGGTCTTCAATAAGTAGAGGTCAGATTTTAGTCCTAAAAGACTACTCCTTATAAGCATTTTTGAGGAATTGAGTTTAAAAATACCTTCGATACTTGTTCTGCATTTTATTATTATCCAAAAAACCCACAAGCATTCTTACACTTTGAGGGCTAATTCAGCTTTTTTGTTGTAACTATTGTCAAGTACATGTGTCACTTCGGTTCTAGATTCTCAGATTTTCACTGGTAGCGCTCAGATAAATTGTCTGAAGCGCAAACAATTCCAGAACAATTCCCCCAGCAATTCCAGAACATCCACTTTATCTATAATTATTTGATACTTTCAAAATAGTAGCATTATTGCCTTTTTGAGTTTAGTTGGGCAGATCTGATCCAATGTAGATTAACTATCGTTATGGGGGTAATGGATTGCTAGTTTATGCAGAAATAAAGCATTTCTGCGTTATTTGTTAACGGAGCTATTTTTATTACAAACCCGTACAAACTCAGTAGGATGGATAATTTAGAAGAGATAGCTAGACATCATAAGTTTTTTGAATGCTTGAATGCCAGTATGGTTTGCGAATAATTATCGTGGGCATTTCGTAGCGTTTCCGGAGCTACAACTTCTGCTTAAAACATAAACGGCAAAATTTTTTTTTTGAGAAGAATGTTGTGCAGCTTATATTTGACGTCACAAAGAGTGTATGCGCGGCGCACCTGCTAACCATGCCTTTCTCTTCCCCTTAGTACTTACCCTTTGTTTCAATGGGATTGGCGGCTTGTAGGCGGGACTTCGAGATCTAATCAAGGCTATAAGAATGATCAGAGAGCATGCTCGCGAGAGAGATGCAGACTTTGTCGCGGGCGTAAGCAGTCGCCTTTCAGCCGCCAATTCCGTTAAATCAAAGGATAGCATTCCACTACGGCTCCTTAAGTTGCTCCACCGTCAAGAATCTATTAGGTTGGTAAGAAAGTTTTCGGACATTTTTACGCGAAAATTGCTATTTCTCGGGTTGTAATGCATCTGCGAACGCGAAAATTTGTAGTTGCACTCTCGCATATACGCGGCATATACCTGTGCAGGTGGGAGGAGCTTAGGGTCGATAGGGGCGGAGTTTGCCACTTCTCGATCATCTCATTTTTCCTGCTAATTAAGCCCAAATTCCATACAAACGTTGCGTAAATGCATGTGAGTTCATGTCTACTATATATTGGAGTATTCGTGAGTGTTACAGTGTTTACAAAAGGTGGAGTTCTGAGCTCTGTCGAAATCCTATGTCTTCGAATTTTCGACTCTATTTTCACAGGATTCATTAGTCATGGTTGTGATTAGTATGGTCTTGTAGTGTTTGCTTCCCTCTATCCAATGATGTACAGCATGCCCTATTTGGTGCTTGTATCGAAGCATTATCTTTGTATAAAGGCAATGTTCGAGAACTTTCTTACCAACCTAATACTTCAGGCGACCCCGATTACCACATTCGAACTTTTTTCACTTGTATGATATCAGATTTTGGGAGATCCTTTGAAACTTCATTAACTAATTATATCTTAAATAAAATGTGTCTCTCACCTCTTCACAGCTCCGAAAAAGTATGCTTGAGCATTTTTAAGAATTACGCGTAATTTTTAAGATTAATTTCCGCGCTTTACAAATCTGCTACCATCCAGCTTGACAAAAATCATTCGATTAGGGTTTTCCCTGGGATACTACATGCAAAACAGTGCAATTGGAAAATTCAGATCGCGGCTTGGAAAAAGTGAAAAAACTACTTTATAACATTATTGAAAGAACCTAAACCAGCACAATTGCCTCTGCATATTTTAAAAAAAATTTGTATTTGCTATGGACTGCTCTCCTTTTTCACTTGTTTTTTTTATTTTTGTTTTTTTTAGTATTAGAAGGCCATTTCGCTTCCACGGACGAAGCAGCCGGCAACAGTCACTTGACATTAAGGTACAATTATAAAGACTTTATGGAAGAACTGAAACTACTCTATAATTTTTATTGAAAGAACTTAAACCAACACTATGCCACTGCATATTTTTAAAAAATTTTATAGAATGAAAACTCGTTTTGGATAATTTTGATGAACGTTGTTTCAAAGATTAATCTTCGCCACTGTACTTTTTGTTTAAAAACTCGAGAACGTCCTCCAGTGAGGCTTGTGTTAGAAGAAAGTCGCTGAGTGGTATCGATAATGCTATCTGTTGTGCTTTCATGTAGAGCTCTGACAGCTTGTCTCCTTCTTTTCGCGGAATCTGCAAAAAAGAAAATATATCAAGTGCATAACATCTAGCCGGTTTTCTATTATTTTACTAAATTATGGCAATTGTGAAAAGGTCTAACCATTTCACCAGAAAAACATTGTATTGATTGTGAGTTTTGAATTCTAGAAGAATTTTACTCTCCACATATTGACTTACAAACAGCGAGTTCCTAAGAGATCACCTACCGGCTTACCTTGAATTTAAGATTCAACGTCTCCTCCGTTTTTGTGACTAATTCGCTTGATGGAAACTTAGATAGAACTTCATTTGTCACCTTAAATAAACGTTACATCTCCGCCGAAAGTTGAGCCTACCGTCTACCTTGTCTTTGTCGTCAAGTGCTTTCATGATAGTGTGAAGATAGTAGATGTTAGCGTATCTAAATATTTTTTTAGCATTTGCTTATCCTTTACCGATACATAGATGTTGAACGAAAACCCAAACAATGACAACCTTGACTTCAGTTTCTGACTCGATCCTATCGCTACAAATCTTCCCTTAACGAGGACGCCTATACGGGAACAAAGTGCTTCGCATTCTCCCATTGAGTGAGACGAAATCAGTATGGCTCTCCCATCGGATTGCATCTGTTTCAAGAGCTCCCAAATTAGATGCCGTGTCTAATTACAAATGACCAACTAATAAAAAAAATTGGTGCGTAAGATAGTAAAAACCTTTGGATCTATTCCTGCTGTCGGTTCGTCCAGAATAATGAGTTTTGATGGGTTTATTAGGGCTACTCCTATGCTAACTCTTCTTTTTTGCCCACCGCTAAATTGTATCGAATGCAGTAACAACGATTTTATACAAGCTGAGTGTCTGTATGTATGCCTGTATGTATAGATCTTTGTGTCTGTAGGCTGTAATTATGTGCTGGATAGAAAATTTGTTTTTGAGCCGATCCAGACTAACTTTGCACACGTACACTTCAGTCGGACAAAGTTACTCCACTTCGCCTAACCACCACAGAATTCTACCACTGCCCCAAAGCGCGTAAGTCGATCATTAATAAATCTGCGAAGCTATGTTTAGTGTGACACCGGTGATTAAGCGACCAAGGCGACCAGCTCCTGAGGCACCATCAGTACGGTATTTTTGTGAATTGACCAAACAAGACCGATAAGTCCACTTTCAACGGCCAACGGAAGCTACATATGAGCAGTAACTACAACTCATACCTGCTTAGAAGATATGGGGCTTACACCACAGTTCGCGAAACTAACATGGAGTTACACGACACGCGCCATCGTGAGGGTATATTTTCAGATGATGAGAAAGAGCGACAGAAGATATGCGTTTACAATCTTATATACTAGCAAAGCGCTGGAAATCAAATCAGGCTCAAACTTATTGCTATTGAAGTAAAACGTGTAGAAGAAATGAAATGAGCGAAGAATTCAATTTAGGAGAAGTCGACGATAGAGGATTACGATGCGATGAGCAAAGAGGTAAGCCATTTTCAGATCGCTTATAATGCCCAGACTTTTACATAAACTCTTAAAGAACATGCAACACATATTAATATAGATTTGTCAGCACTACAACACAGAAAAGTTTCTCATGGAACTGTAAAAGAACTACAAATTCTGTCAAAGCAGCAAAACAATAATGTAGCTTTGATTTTTCGCACACAAAAGAAGAGGTCGCGTTGATGATGATGACTTAAGGTCCGAAATGACTAACATCGCAGCTAGGATACCAGAAAACAATATATCGACTAGCGACCCTACGGGTCGCTAGTAAGTGGGTTGGGGCAGATACATTGATAATATACTTGGGTAATTCGATAATTTTTCATCGAATGAATGAATATCGAATAGATTCGAAAAGAAAAAATTTCGAATAAACGAATAGCGAATAAATTCGGAAAATCAAAAATATCGAATGAATGAATTTCGAATAAATTCGGAAAATCAAAATTATCGAATGAATGAATTTCGAATAAATTCGGAAAATCAAAAATATCGAATGAATGAATATCGAATATATTCGAACATTGAAAGTCGAATTTCGAATAAATATTCGAATGATTTATCGAATAAATAGAGCAGCCATATCTCAAACTTGCCGGCATATCTGGCTAAAGCCGATCCAATCATAATCAGCCCATTAGTATCCCCTATACCAACTCCTAGCTCAAAATTTTCCAAAAATTGCTGAAATCAGTAAAATAGATTTCGATTTTAATCAGCACCCTCACTTACCCCCCTGTACCAACTCCCAACCCCGTAGCTCAAGATTTTCCAAAAATCGACAAAATCGATAAAGTAAGTTTTTATCCGTAATCAGCGCCCTCACTTACCCCTTTGTACTAACTCCCAACACCGTAGCTCAAGATCTTCCAAAAATCGATAAAATCGATAAAGTAAATTTTTATCCATAATCAGCATCCTCACTTACGCCCTTGTACCAACTCCCAATCCCGTAGCTCAAGATTTTCCAAAAATCGATAAAATCGATAAAGTAAATTTTTATCCATAATCAGCACCCTCACGCCCAACTCCCAACCCCGTAGCTCAAGATTTTCCAAAAAGCGATAAAATCGATAAAGTAAATTTTTATCCATAATCAGCACCCTCACTTACCCCCTTGTACCAACTCCCAACCCCGTAGCTCAAGATTTTCGCTGTTCGGATTCATAGCGCTAGGTGTGCGATCTTGAAGCAATAAGTTGGCCACATATGTATTAAATTCCACAAATGCTACGATACATTGCCTGTTCACCGGAGACTTTCGTCTTGTGTGGTATAAGCTAGTCGTGGACGAAGGCATGTGGTTTCCTCCGCGAAGCGAGCACGAATGCCCCTATAACCCCGGGCATACTGCAGGCATTTCAGTGGCGACGTTTTATGATACTCAAATTGTCCAAAACCTATTCTGAAAGTACAGAATGCAGGGCATTTATCTTTTAGTATGTTGTACACGCTAAACATTGTGGTAAGCTGCCATTACATCTGAAGACATCTCGTTACTGGCAAATCGCATACGGCGATCTAAACCGTCTAATCCTGCACTACAACTGCGATGTCCTTTACCTAGTATACATCAATTCGCAAAAAACTCCAAGGTAACGAATATGCAGTTTTGCAATAATTTATGCGAGCAAGAGTGCTCACTAGTGTGGGCTTTGCGTACCGCAAGCATGAGCAACGCAAAGAAAGAAGAACAGCCATTTCAATTCAGTATGAACTCAGAACATGAGCTTCAATTTGATAATTTGATCTTCTTTGCTGATTTGGTGCCAATAGCAGTGCGAACAATCTCATTGATCGAAAAAACATCAATTAAAATCCACATATGGATCCACATATTACTATCGCAAGCAGTCGGAAGAATGCGACTCTCCTTGTAGTTTAAAGGTATACTGGTTGCAAAAGATGCATTACCGAGTTTTGCGAAAAAACGCGGAGAAGTGAGCTTGATACTCAGCAGTTGGCTCTGCAACAAAGTCGAATAATCTGAATACGGAGTACATTCGAATACGAATTCGAATAAACATTCGAATAAAACATTCGAATAAAATCTATTCGAAACCCCGTTTTTTGATTATTCGAGCTTTCGAATAATATTCGAAACCTCGTTTTCTGATTATTCGAGTTTTCGAATTTTATTCGAAACCCTGTTTTTTGATTATTCGAGTTTCGAATATTATTCGAAAATGGAAGAACTCCGAATATCGAATTTCGAATACGAATATATTCGAATGTTTTATTCGAATGATCGAATTTCCATTCGATTCCTACCCAAGTATAATTGATAAGTGTCTACGTGCAACTAACAAGGGGAGCGTCATTAGTCGAAGTGGCCTTTCCAGGTGAGACCCATATTGCTTTGAAGAGCATTAAGCGATGATTCCAAATCTGCCTTCAAAATCTGCCAAGCGCCTTTAGACGCTGAGTTATGGGCGTTTTCCAGGTCAAAAAATTGAACGCAAAACTTCAACAAAATCACCTAAATTTACTCAAATGGTCTAGTGTCAAGTATCAGAACCGTTTATGCAATGGACACATTTGTCTAATATGCTAACACTTAATATTGCTTTATCTTAGCACTGAAAAGATTGTAACAATCGATTTTACCTAAATTCTGCATTCATTTTTCGTTTCAAAAAATGGTCATAACTCGGCGGCCAGAGGCGCTTGGCAGATTTGGAAGGCAGATTTGGAATCACGCTTAATGCTCCTCAAAGCAGTATGGGATTCTTTTGTAAAGGCCACTTCGACTAATGACGCTTCCCTTGTAAGAATAGCAAGGTAATGAATTCCCATTTTAACGATCTTTTTCGCAATGCAAGTAGTAACAGAAGCAAGATCAGGCTCAAGCAAACTTTTTACAGCGACTAACTACCAAATCATATACGCTGTTCTTCTTGCAAAGACCCAACCCCAGCTCCTAAAAATGAAAATTGCCTGAGCAGTCATCTATGCAGAAAGCTGATTCAATCCGAAATTCAGACTGACTTTCAGGAATGTGCGACGGTAGCAAACACATCGAGCTTCACGATCATGCACAGTCCTACACTCCCTTATGATATCTCGCGAAGTCATTTCTTGAAGCGAGATTAAGTTCGCTCAAAGCTTTCTTTTGGACAATCTTAGCAAACATGTCCTGCCTCATAGACCGAGACCACGAGATCAAGTCCCCTTTCCTTTTTTGCTGAAGGGGGAAGAAGTATGATTTCTGCGAAATAAAAGCAGCCAAAATGGGTTTCAAACAATATTTTTGATAAGTTAGCATCGATCTTGCCGCATAAGCCCTCGGGACCTTCCTTCCCTCAAGTCCAAGTCTGCTTTGCTTCTTTATTGTAGGAGGCAGAGGTATGATTTCTGCGAAATAAAAGCGGCAAAATTGAATATCAAGCGAGCTTTTGTACAGTTAAGCATTGAAATTGAGAAGTTCTTAGCAGAAATGCACTGCCGCATGAAGCCCTTAGGCCTTCCTTCCCTCGAGATCAAGCTCTCGCTTTGCTTCTTTGTTATAGGAGGCAGAGGTATAATTTCTGCGAAATATTAGGTTGTAAAGGAAGAGTCCGGGCACTTTTGAAGATTTCGTTTCTTGATTGCCGCTCCTTCGGTATTTGACACCGAGTTTTATACTGTTCGGTAGAAGGAAGCCTAATCTTTTCGAAGCCGCTTCTAATTTTCATCGATACCAAAGCATGTATGATCTGCACATCAAAAAAGGAAGGCTTTCTAACAAGACAATTTCACAAATTTTCTTCCTGCGGTCATTTTTTTGTGAAGTTCATAGGTTTTCGTCCAAATTGTGTGTGATCCAATCGAAGAGACTGTTAGCTTCTGACTCGCAGCTGCCTTCGTTTTGCGATTGCGCTCAGAAATTATAAGCTGTCAAACTTGTCTCTGACTGCAACTATTTTCGCAGCTGACATCGCTTCTGCGAGAATCGCCATTGGGTTCAAAAGATGTATAAGGCATTAGCCCAACAATCTTCGCAATAATCAAAGATTTGCTGTCTCCCGTGGAGAACGAGAAGACTTCAAAGTCGTTTACTCGAGAAATGGTGCATTTTTAAGGCAAAAAATGGTCGATTTCTTAACCTTTGTGGAAAAACTTATTTTGCAGATAGTCGCTCAAAGGCGTAAATAGTCTCCAAGACAGCCCTGGCAGACTTCTATATAAATACAGCATATGAGCTGTCCAGCTCCCATCATGCCTGAGATATTCTGCTCAAATAGGTTACTTTTCGCGTCGATTTTTTCCCTTCTGCGCATGCTGGTGGACCGCAGCGAGACGCTGAAAAGCCAGCAAAAT